AGGGATTCCATTACTTTTCGTTTATTTTCCACTCTATTCAAATCTTTGTTGTTTACTTTAAAATCCTTCTATTTCTGTTGGATTCAGCATTGTCTATTAAAAATCGAAGTGTTGTCGTCTCCAAATAATTCTGTTCATTGGAGGAGTGACTGCGGTCTAAACATCCAACTTTCGGCCGGTATGTCACAGGGTCAAGTCCCACATCACCTAATTCGGTTTGGGTAACTGGGTAAATATCGCTAGTCCTCACACAAACGATGTGGTTCAAAGCTGAATACATAAATTTCTACTTGGTACATAAGCGGTTAGATTATATGAAAATATAGTTGTGTTAATTTTCGCCTATGACATTTTATCATATTATTTTTCTGTAAGTAATTTATGTATAAATATGTCATTTTGTTACGTGAAAAAGCACATTCATCTGGCTAGTGGTCTTGTTTTTGATTCTTAATCATTCGAGGGTTCAAATCAAGAATTCATTCATTTGAGCCACTATCGTTCGGAAAAATATATCATTGTATTCACGGTAGGAATTCTATTCATTGATTCTGACAATCGACAATTTGATCTCATGAATTATTTAACAACGTCATTTATAACAGAAAGGGAGTTCAACTCCTGATTGAGACTCATTAAATTTTATCATTAAACGAGCTTCTGAGATTCAATGACCACTACATATCCTCTAGTGTGCAAAATAGGTTAATTTTATCTAGCACTGGTCATTATGTTCACATAATATAATGTGTGGTTCAGAATTGCTTACTCAAACTTGTACTTAACTACTTACTTACTTACTTACTTGCTTTCGCCTGTTACTCCCAATGGAGCATAGGCCGCTGACCAGCATTCTCCAACCCACTCTGTCCTGAGCCTTGTTTTCTAGTTCCATCCAATTCTTGTTCATTCTTCTCATGTCTATCTCCATTTCCCGGCGTAATGTGTTCTTTGGTCTTCCTCTTTTCCTTTGACCTTCAGGATTCCAAGTGAGGGCTTGTCTTGTGACGCAGTTGGGTGCTTTCCTCAATGTGTGTCCTATCCACTTCCAGCGCTTCCTGATTTCTTCCTCCACTGGGATCTGGTTTGTTCTCTCCCACAGTACGTTGTTGCTAATAGTGTCCGGCCAATGGATCTGAAGTATTTTGCGTAGACAATTGTTAATAAACACCTGTATTTTCTAGATGATGGCTTTTGTAGTTCTCCAGGTTTCTGCCCCATACAGTAGAACTGTCTTGACATTTGTATTGAAAATCCTGACCTTGGAGTTGGTTGACAGTTGCTTTGAGCTCCAGATGTTCTTCAGTTGTAAATATGCTGCTCTTGCTTTGCCGATCCGCGCCTTCACATCTGCATCAGATCCACCCTGTTCATCAATGATGCTGCCCAAATACGTAAAGGGTTTTATATCTTCCAAATCTTCTCCGTTGATTGTGATTGGATTGGTGCATTCTGTGTTGTATCGGAGAATCCTGCTTTTCCCTTTGTGTATATTGAGACCTATTGCTGCTGAGGCTGCTGCCACACTGTTTGTCTTCTCCTGCATCTGTTGTTGCGTTTGGGATAGAAGGGCCAGATCGTCTGCGAAGTCTAGATCATCCAACTGCATCTTAGATGTCCATTGTATCCCGCGCTTCCCTTCAGACGTTGACGTCTTCATGATCCAGTCGATCACCAGGAGAAAGAGAAAGGGTGAGAGTAAGCAACCTTGCCTAACACCGGTCTTCACGTCGAACGACTTTGTCAACTGTCCTCCATGCACGATTTTGCAGTGTAATCCATCATATGAGTTCTGTATGATATTGACTATCTTCTGAGGCACGCCGTAGTGTCGAAGAAGTTTCCATAGTGTTGTTCTGTCCACGCTGTCAAATGCCTTTTCATAGTCAATGAAGTTGATGTAGAGTGATGAATTCCATTCAGTTGATTGTTCCACAATTATCCGTAGAGTTGCGATTTGGTGTGTACATGATCTATCCTTACGGAATCCTGCCTGTTGGTCACGAAGTTGGGCGTCTACGCAGTCCTTCATCCTGTTTAACAATACCCTGTTGAAGACTTTTCCTGGTATTGAGAGAAGAGTGATGCCCCTGTAGTTATCACACTTGCTGAGATCGCCTTTCTTCGGTATTTTGATCAGAAGTCCTTCTTTCCAGTCTGTTGGTACTTGTTCCTCATCCCAAATCTTATTGAAGAGAATGTGGAGTATCCTGCTGCTTTGCCACTCTTGATTTGTCTGATGGCCATGCTGATTTCTTCAATTGTTGGTGGGCCAACATTGATTGGGAGGTCCGTGGGTGCTGCTTCGATGTTGGGTGGGTTCAGTGGAGCTGGTCGATTCAACAATTCTTTGAAGTGTTCTACCCACCTGTTTTGTTGCTCTTCAATGTTGGTGATTACCTTGCCTTCCTTGTTTTTCACTGGTCGTTCTGGTTTGCGGCGATTTCCAGAGAGTTTCTTTGTCGTGTCATACAATTGTCTCATGTTTCCTTCTCTTGCAGCCTTTTCCGCCTTCGTTGCTAAATCTTCCACATATTTACGTTTGTCGGTTCTGATGCTCCTTTTCACTTGTTTGTTTACTTCTGTGTATTCAGCTTGTGCCTTGGCTTTATCTGCTTTTGTTCGTCTGGTATTGATTGCTGCCTTCTTGTTCCTCCTTTCTTGAACCTTATCCAGTGTATCAACAGTGATCCATTCCTTGTGATGTTGCTTCTTGTGGCTCAGGACCTCATGGCATGTTGAAGTGATTGCCTCCTTGATCGCCTTCCAGTTTCTCTCCATAGTAGTCCCTTCTCCATTGAGTAGATCATGAAAGGCCTGGAACCTATTGCTGAGGACTATCTTGAATTTGTTGAGTTTGTCAATATCCTGAAGAAAGGCCGTATTGAACATTTGTGATATTGTCCGCCCCATTGTCCAGTGCTTCTTGAGTTTCAATTTCATCTTGTCGACCAGCAAGTGATGATCTGATGCTATATCAGCTCCTCTCTTGGTTCTCGCGTCCTCTATAGTCCTCCTGAACGTTTTGTTGATGCAAATATGGTCCATTTGGTTTTGTGTAGAGTGATCCGGTGAAGTCCATGTGGTTTTGTGTATGCGTTTATGTGGGAATATGGTGCCGCCTATGACCAGCTTATTGAAGGCACATAGATTTGCAAATCTCTCACCATTTTCGTTTCTTTCTCCCAGTCCGTGTCGTCCCATGATGTCTTCATATCCAGTGTTGTCCGTTCCAACCTTGGCGTTGAAATCTCCCATCAGAATGGTCAGGTCCTTTGTTGGGCACTTCTCGATGATTGACTGCAGCCTATCGTAGAATTGATCTTTAGCGTCTTCATTGTAGTCGTTGGTAGGCGCATAGCATTGGATGATGTTCATTGAAATGCCCTCTTTCTTTGTTTTAAACGAGGCTTTGATGATCCTTGGTCCATGAGATTCCCATCCTATAAGTGCATTTTGTGCTTGTTTGGACAGCATCAATGCAACTCGTTGTGTATGTGGTGCATTTTCTTCTTCATGGCCGGAGTATAACAGGAGCTCTCCTGTAGTTAGTCGTTGTTGTCCAACTTGTGTCCAATGTGTTTCACTGATCCCAAGTACCTCTAGTTTGTATCTTCTCATTTCTGCAGCAATCTGGAAGGCTCTTCCGGTGTCCCACATTGTACGAACATTCCATGTACCTAAATAAATGGTCGCTCTGGTTGTCAGGAGGGGCATCGGCCTCGTAACTTCCGAAGGGATTCGGCTTTCATCATGAGGCGTCATAATTCTTCTAAATGAAGATCTTCTGACTCCCAGGGCAGAGTTTAAAAGGTTTGAATAATTTTTTCTGGCTAGCGTTTTTTTAGCGAGTTAGTCTTCTACGGGATGGGGACGCTAACCCCATGCCCAACCCTCCTCCTTTATCCGGGCTTGGGACCGGCAGTAGCCCCCGGAGGGACTCCAGGCGGAGTTACTTAACTACTTAGTTACTTTATATATATTCATTATCAAAAATCTGTTTCAGTTTGGGTGTCCGGGCAGTATCCCAGCCCTCACACAAACCGGACGATTTGTGTAGCGCATATATGTTTGGTGCTTCCTTGTACCAATGTTTATGTGTTTAAATAAATAAATAATCAAAAAGTTTGTCTAAAGTATTATTTATTATAACCTGACATCATTAAGAATAATACGTTAAGTGTGTGATCGATTTATATGTATATATTGCCAACATTAGGTATATATATATCGAAAGTTTGATTTCCAAGGTCGGTATATTTTCATATGTATATTTTTTCGTGTGAAAGTAATAAAAGGGAATCGATATACTTCACCGTTTATAATTAATTAGACAGGTATTTTTCTTAAAATAAGATGTATCATAAAGACGTTGACATGTTTAATTTTTATTTATAAAGTTTCATTTTTATATGACAGACATTTAGATAATTATGACTCACTGTTGGTGTAAATGTGAGAAAGCACTTGTGATTGGTAAAATTTAATTTCCATGTTGACAAGGTAATTTTTAGACTATATATATAGATTATGGAAAGGTGGAATTTGAGTTAGGCGAGAATATAACTTCTTATAGACATGTGTTGTACTCTCGAAATGTTTTTGATCCCGTTTGAGTAAAATATCAATACTGTACCTCCAATATGTTTTATCTATTCACTTATATGATCAACGACGTTTATTGTTTCATATAAATGTTATTCTCAAATAATTAGAGCTCATTATATCAACAAAAAGTACTTTATAATAATAATAATAATAATAATAATAATAATAATAATAATAAAGATTGCATTTATTATACACCATATTTATGAAGGACTCCAATTAAATTCAGGTTTACTAAAAACTAAACATATGAAGGTTATACATTAAACATCATTTTATTTATAATCTATCTACATAATGAACTTGACCTGATGTTTCAGCATTTAATTTACGTAAGTTGTTCAAATTTTTTACTTACTGTAATAAGAAAACATTTGACGATTGTTAGGTTAGTGAATGTAATATGCTGATTAATTGATAAAATTCAGTGATAAAATTTGGTCGAGTGGTAACTACTGAAGAGATGGGGTTATTGACTCACACCTCTGAAGGAACTGGTATCAGTGACAAGGGAACCAGTCCAAATAATAAGCGTTTTTGTTTATCTAATCAAATAACGCCGGATACATACGAAATAATGAACACAAAAATAAATATAGTTGGAGGTCAATTGAAAAGTGAGCAATCAAAACGTAAGGATTTCGTAGTTTACTTAAGTACTGACGAAATTAACACTTGTTCATCTCACTTAACTCTTAGACATGCAATCAAGTATACTTTCAAAGTTTATCACCACAAGTATCAGTTTTTTGTGACTAATTCATAATTGTCCAGAGTAAATTGTTACTAAAAAATGGTTAAGATTTCATGTAGTAGATTGATAAAATCAATGGGTGGATGATTTTCATTTGAATCCTAGGAAATTTTATTTATTTATTCATTTAAACATATATTGGTACAAGGAGGCACCAAATAGGCATGTGCCACATAAATCATTCGACTCGTGTGAGGGCTGGAATACCACCCTGGCCCCCAAACCGAAACAGGTGGTCTTCTTGGTAGGCCATACCCGAAGCCTTCGACCTGAAGGTCTAATCCATAAGGCAGTGGAGCAACGTAAGGAGTTGCAGGCCCATAGTAGCTGGTGACCAATAATTGGTTCATACGCCACTTGTTTCTTTAGGATCCTGGAGCCCATGTGCACCATTGGTTTGGAATCAGGGTTTTCCAACTCCCTTAGGTGGATCCTCTGTATACACCAACCCGGTTAAAACGCCGGACATCCTCTTTTCATCCTCTCAATTTCGTAAATGACACCCCCACCGCGAGAAGGCAGTGAATAGGACTTCCCCGACAGTGGCTGTATGCATGTATATCTAGATAGCTGCGTAAGTGCTGGTGGTGGCGTGAGTGATGAGATCAATGCACGTATAGTGAAAGTCAGAGCGGCTTATGCCAATCTGGGCCGTCTTAGGCGCCTTCGTGACGTTAGTCTGGCTGTAAAAGTTCGGATCTACAACGCGTCGGTGAGAGCAGTTTCGCCCTATGCTTGTGATCATTGTTGTCTCCGAAGGATTGCTGACATCCAGTGGCAGCATCATTTTAGTAATGCAGAGGTTCGGCATCGTGTGTTCGGGCACCGAAACGATAATTCAATTGGTGTCACCATCTTGAAACACTGACTTCGGTGGCTTGGACATGTTCTACGAATGTCGTCCCAGAGAATTCCACGTCGTGCATTATTTGCGGACGCTGGGACTGGTTGGAAAGAGCAGAGAGGTGGTCAGCGTATGACATGGTGTCGTGGCATGAAAGAAAGCTACACAGGACTGGCTTCTGTTGGTCCTTCTCGACACCCTGGCTGAGGTCCAACGGATGATGCAACACAGTGGCTAGAGACGTTATCAGATATGGCCCAGAAGAGAAGCCAGTGGTGATCCTGCTGTAACTTTCTTCATAAAAAGTGACCGTAACTTTTTTAACTGAAATAATTCTTTCTGGTTGTACCTTTCCGTTTCCCCCATTATTATTATTATTTCACCACCATACACTAACTTGTGGTCGTTATTGTTCTTTTTTTACACTCACCTTACATTCTTTATCTCTTCCCATTCCCATTATGATTGTGTGGCGCATATGTATCTCGTACCCCCTTGTACCAATATTTATGTGTTCAAATAAATAAATAAATGTGGCCATGTGAGAGCATTTCGAGAAGGAGAGCTAACTCCCCCCACCAAATGCTTTCGGCCATACCAGGGCATTACTAAAGATTCTAGTCTCAATGGAACATCAACACTGCATCGCATGTAGATTTAGTTTTTAGAATCGCCACTTAGAGTTAGACGCACATCGTATATGATAATGCTAAACACTTTTTATATTCATACAAAATCGTGACATTTGCTTAAGAAGCGCCCATATATACACTGACAGACATTAATTAATTAAGCTTTCAATATCCACCAGAAGGAAATAAATTTATTTTTACGAATAACAAAGTGTTTGCATAAGTGTTTTTTTAATCATTCAGTCGCACACATTTTAATCTACAACTCGTTGGCCGTGATAGTATAACGAATAATGATATAGAAATATCTGTGTTTTCAGAATATAAGCACTATTACTTATCAAAATCAGAGAGAGTGAGAATAAAAGCAGAATACAGCAAAAGGACAGTTCATAGGTTTGGTTAATAAGTAATTTTTAATTAACTGATGTAAATCATTATTTACCAAGTAAACAAGCTTTTGATACAATCAACTAATGGCTAACTAAACCGAAGCATTTATTAGGGTGGATTTTTAAACTTTGTAATTTGGTGACTTTGAATCATAAAGTTTTATTAGTAAACCTTCAGTGCATTAGGGATTAAAATGGTATTCTTTGTTGTAAAGTGGTTGTTGATATTTTAAAATTAGGTTTCAGCTAGTTAATTAATATTCATTGTACAATTAACTGCATTTGCTGCATATATGTACTCATTAAAATTATTCAGATTATCTCTATTTTGCTTTCTTTATCTCTTTTTAACTATCAATGGATTTCTAGGTTATTTTTTGTATATTTTAAAAGAAATATTTAGATTGATTGTACTAGTAAATTTTGCTATGTATATATACATATGTATATGTCCTAAACACAATAGATAGGTAGATAGAGTTGATTAGTTTGTATTTCACATAAGTCAATTAAAATTTTATTTGGAAATAATTATTGTTCACGATTATAATAATGTACGATAAATACTAATTAAGGTGCTTATTCACCTTGTCCACGAAATCTGTACGAGGTATGCACTCATGATCAATCTTTAGAAAAAAAATATTTAACTTTATGTCAGTAAGTCACCCTATATCAGAAGACAACAAATCCGTTCTCTGATACAATTTGAAAAGGTATCAGTCGTTGAAATTCGGTCTACTGATCACAAGATTAGTTTTTTCACTTGCTTGAAAATTCTCAGATCTTGGTCTCGACCTTTAGATTACTGACGATCATTGGAGATTGTTGAAGGTTACCAAGAGTGTGAAACAAAGGAGGACAGTCGTTTGTGAATCAAATATGTTGACAGTTATTGTCCATAAAAGATAATGTAGATCACCATGAACATGTATTGTTCTCATGTGCATTATAAAATAATGTAAGGTGTTACTCATGTAAAATCAAAACGTCCTTCATTGTCGTTCAGTAGTTTGCATCCTATTTTTACAGAATATGAGATAATTCATGAAAGTACCCTTTCCATCACATTACTACCATCAGTAGCTGAATAAAGGTATGAAATCAGGGTCAGATTCATTCAAGGCAATTGACACTTAAGTACAACACGATTGATTATTTAATAATTACTTTAACGACTAACAATCTTAGTAACTCAATTCTCATATTAAAAAAATCATATTTCGTTAGTGGTGCATATACCAGAACAAATAACGGTAAGCGGACCCAATGAAAAGTATTTCGACGTAATACGAGAAGTATTTTACAAATTGATCACGTCCAGAAGTAATAGTATACTAACACACTAAAAACCTTTTAGTAGTTAAGTAAGCCCTTCACCATGTCAACGTTACGCTAATCATGTAGAATTCTAGGATTGAGAATTTATTCCTATTCTGTATGTAATTAAGAGGTCAAACTAGGAATCGCTTTTGAAGTCCATTGAAGAAGAAAAATAGTATTAGTAAATCAATTTAAAAATATGCCGTCGTAACTGTCAGATTTGAAAGCAGTTCAATAGGAATTACAGTTATGGTTATTCATGTAGATAGACAGCTATTATAACCTAAACTATTGATCATTGTGAAAATTGGGATTTAAAAGTAACCATCTCTATGGCACATGTAACTGTGAGATCACTTATTCATTTGACTTTAAATCAGTATATATGAATGCCAGTTATCTGTTGGCTATTTTCTAAACTAAATTGCTCATTCTAGCACGCATTTTTATTCTCTAAGATGTGTTAAAACCGAACTAACAAATATTTTATTGTATTCGTGAGTCGACAGATGAATTCACAAGTTCGACTACGTATTTTCACCAATTCTTCAAAGTTGTTAAATATGCACTGGACTGCAATAATCACTTAGAATATACTGAATATAAGCGATGCTTATTTTTATCCATTGGATTATCATGCATCATATCTTATCGTCGTCGCCACCATGTTATGTGTTTTTTCTATGTATTTGAATCATGTATCATTAAATACTAGTGGATTATTTTTGTGTAAATGTTGTTCCAATTAGAACTAGTGAACTATACTGGATCAGTATCTACAAAATGATAGTGCGTTGCTAAAAATCAAACCAAATACCTTATTCTATGCATTTTTACTAACTTGGATGTTATCCAAATACATGACTTTAGACCACAGATTAAAGTTACATTCAATCCCCTTCAAAATATTTGACCAACTATACAACTCTCATCTAATAGGTATTTTCCATAGTGTGAATCACAAAACAGGATGGTATTTACAATTGTTTGGCATACGTTTAAGTTATGGGGTTCGGTGTTGCGGGTAGGTATTCGATCACCACTGAAGTCGGCGATCTTTTTGCTAAATAGTGGGTGGTCTACAATAAATAAAATGATGCAAACCCTTCATGAACTGAAACCCAGTAATAATCACCTAGAGTTACTTTCGTTCAAAACTTAAATTTGCGCTCAATTGAGTCGAGAAAATTCTACATAAAGATTAGTTCTGGTGTTTAGCCTAAAATATTTACTAGACTCATTCATTTACAATTCGACTCGCTAACTTAAGTAATTGGTACCTGTTTTACATTTCGTTTCAGTTTTGAATCAAACGATTCGTCTGGTTCTGATTTCAAAATTGAACGAAATTTATTAAATTCTTATTTAAGACGACTTGGTGGTTCAATTTTAACAAATAGTTTATCTTCACCCAATACAGAATCAATCTTGTCAACTAATTCTAGTTCGTTTTTATTTGAGCAATCGAGTTGTGGCCATACAACGAATTATACTACGTGTAATACATTACAAACACCGGAAAAAATGTTTTCTGATTCTTATCCTATGACACCTGAGTCAAGATTTGATGATCACGGAAGTGTTGAGTTTACAGACATTACTACTACTAATAGTAATAATAATAGTAGTAGTCATGAATTATTTAATCATGAACAACAATTAACATTAAACAATAATGATATATTGAATCATCACTGTGATGAAGATGATGATGAACAGATTTGTTCTGACTTGCAAAATTCACCTGTTTCTGGTCATTTGAAATCTTGTGCATATGAGTAAGTAACAAATGAATTACTTCTTTTGTTGTTGTACATGTTCCCATAATTTTTATCTTTGTAATGTTTTTTTGACAAATAAGTCTGTGAAACAATACATCCTCTGTTAATGCTGTTTAAAATCAACGAGTATTTA